AGAACTGTTTGAAAGTGAGGAGTCAAATCAACAGAACAGAAAAACCAAAAAACACTTTTCAGCTATCCTGGAGGTTAACTCTTGATATTGGCGCAGTAAAGCTAAGCGTCAAAAGTTAAAAAAAAAAGCTTTCCTAGCACAGCAACAGCAGTTTTTTAGTGTAGTTTTTACTTTTTCAAACACTGTTTAGTACTATCAAAGAACGTAGATAACAAGAAGGGACAACTCGTTATAATTGTGGCAAAAGTGCGCAACAGGGGCGTGCCTTCTCTTTTCATCCAATCAAAGAACGCACTAGGGCAAAAGAGAAGGCACGCCCCTGTTGCGCACTTTCGCTACATTTATAACGAGTTGTCCCTTCTTGTTATCTACAACAACAACATAAATTTATGGAACTAATGCAAACCAGCTGATTTTTGACCAGTTAAATTGAGACGTTTTGTTTGCGACAACGTTTTCATTGTGCCATCTCGGAATCTTCTGTGCGTTTTGTCAATCAAAAGCATCCCTGTGACGCAGAAAAGAATTTCTATCTGGCGAGGTCTTAAAGCTGATGCCAGATAAAACGCTTGCTTCGCTTTGCGTGACAGATTCGCTTTGACAGATAAGATAAATTGTATCCATGATACAATAATTTTTAGAAGGTAGTTTCACTTAAAAATTTTTGACATAAACCGTGTCTGTGACAAACACGAAATGTGGCCACTGCTACGATATAGAACTTGGGGATTATCGCTTGTTATTTTAGATATTTTTTAACAGAACATGTAAAGATTTATATGTTTCATAACTGATCACTTAATTTTTAATATAAATATACGTATTTTATACATACATTTTTGCAATTGCTAATCACATGAATAAAAATCATAAAAATGAAAATATGACAACAATATTTCTTGTTTATAATGGATTAGATCCATCGCACACCACGGACTTTATCGGCCGCCAATTTAGATGTGCTCGCTGGTCTTTCCATTGCACCACAACTTATTGGTCAGAGCGATTAAGCTGGTGTAATGTGCGCACCTCCATACATCTTCACGTACATATTTCAAGCGAGCCATATCATTTAAATAGGCGGCCGATAAAGTCTGTGGTGTGCGCTGGCTCTTATAGCTGTGTCCTTACATCTATTCCGTGTGTTGCAATATCCACGAAAGCAGCAGTTAATTTTTTATGAAGAAAATTATTACGAAATATTCGAAAATTTCTCTACTTATATGTTTGGCTTTTCTTTGTTTTATTTTTCCAACGTCAAAAGCAGGATTTTTTTTTTGAAAAAGTTGGTACAACAAAAAATACGAAACACGTTTTCTGTCAGATAGCTAACATGGCGGATAAGAAGAAGAAGTGAAACTACCTTCTAAAAATTATTGTATCATGATTGTATCCAAATGCACAAAGCATGCCGCATAGATCGTCGCAGCTAAATAGATAAAATCCACAGCAATTTTAACGAGAAAAAAGCAGTACAAAATTGGATATGGAATATTTGAAAAAGCCAACCAATGGACCAAACGAAAAAATGGACCAAACGAAAAAAATGGACCAAACTTGGTCCATTTGGACCAAAACGACGGCTGTCGCTCATCCTCTCGCTGTTCGCAGTGGTTTTGTTTCTTTTTCTAGCAGATAATTATCAGGAAGAAGAAGAACGGGGAAATTGAGAGAATTACGCTCCCAGAGAGCGAAATAAAGAAATAGTAAAAGCCCAAAATACAATAACGCAGTGGCAGTGGCAGTTTTTCGAAATCAGCTGTTTTTTTAGAAAGTGTGGTGTCCAATGAAGCGGCTCACAATACAGCAGTGGCAGCTGGCAGCACTGCTCAGTTTAGCCCAAATTCTAAATTCACTGCCACTGCCTTCATCGCAGCAAACTTCCCATGCTGAATTTGACATAAATAAAATGCAGCCAACTTCTGCTGATGTCACTGAAGCCTAAAAGACAACAACAAAAATGTAAACAAACAAAAGGGAATGTCAAAAAAAGCTGTCACTGACAACGCCGTATTGTATTTGCTGCGGCAGTGACTGCCTATATTAGCAGTAACAGCTGATTTTAAAAACTGTCACTGCCACTGCCACTGCGCTATTTTATTTTGGCCTAAAGAAACGCAAAACTAGCACAAACAAGCAAGTAAACAGCTGATCGATGTATTTGACTATAATTTTACTAGCAGAAATTAGCAGGAGAAAAAGGAGCAAAAAAGAAGAGCGTAAGAATGAGAGAGAGCAGCTGGTTTTTGCTAGTTTTTTGGGTTAAGAAACGCTTTCCACCAGGAATTAGTGATAATTTGTGATAATTATCTGTTAAGAAACAAAGCTAGTATTCATCCATTTGACATTTCTCTCTGTCGAATCAAGGCGAATATTCTAAGTCATTTCTCGAATGTTCTGCCCAAAGGTGATAGCAGGAGTATAAAAACAAAAATTTACATGTATTTTGTTTTTCTTTGGCGGCTTAAACTGTCAAAATCTGTAAGAGTGTGTGTAGAAATTCAAACAAAATTTTTCAATTTGACATCAGAAGCCGTGCGGCGAAACACATACACAAAATCAGCTGATCTAGTAACACCACCTTATATAAATTCGCCTTGGTTCTGCCATTTTCTTGTTCGCGTCGCGTTGCCGCATTATTCGCCATAAAAGATTACCTTCATTTTAAGAGTTTAGCTCCCTAATCTGTAATTATCAAAAGAGATTAGCCATACAAATTCAGATTAATCCGACAACTTTTCGGTGCGCAACCTGGTGTTATCTTTTATTTTTGCGAAGAAGAGTAGAAATTGAAAGTGTAAAAGTAAACAAAAACGGACGCTACAAAATAAAAGAGGTTTGTAACGGTATTTCTAATAAATTACTAAGTTGAAATAAACTTAAATTACTTAATTTGGCAGAAAAACGTGATTACGGTGGCACAGATAAAAATATGTTCACATATAAATATTATCTCAATCAAAGCTCGTTTTTAATGACCCCGTTTACACAGGCAAATCTCAGATTATTAGCCGTCAAATTTTTTGTCCTTGTTATTCTCTCATCTCAAGGAAAGGTTATGCTTCTTCTCTGTGCCACCGTGATCACTTTTTTCTGCTACATAAAGCAGTTTAAATATGTTTTAACTTAATATTTTATTAAAAATACCTTTACAAACCTCTTTTCCTTGCCAGCGTCCATTTTTGCTTACTTTTACATTTGGCAATTCTCCTCTTCTTCGCAAAAATAATCGATAAAAGCAGGTTGGACACCGAAAAGTTATCGGTTAAATCCGAGATTATTTTATAGTTACAGATTAGCAAGGGTCGAATTTTGTATGGCTAATCTCTTTTTATAATTACAGATTAGGGAGTTAAGCTGGAAAATGAGGATAATCTAGTTATATGTGAACCTAGTATAAGAAGCTTAATTTTTCCTTAAGTTGTGAGAATAACAAGCACAACAAACTTGACGGCTAATAATCTCAGATTTGCCTGTGTGAACGGGGTTATTAATAAACGACTTTTGATTGCGTTTACATTTATATGTAAACATACTTTAATCGGTATACGACAAAATACAAACGGCAACACTGCACCATAAGTGCTGTTTGATTTAACAGAAATGGCCCCACGGTTTTTGACGTTAGTCATCGCCGCAAAAAAGTTGTAAAAAATTCCAATTGTCCAAAGAATTTGCGGCTGACAATTTTAATTATTTTTATTGCGCTATCTATGTGAGTTAGAACGTGAAAAGTTGTAGCAAAAATATATATTAGGGCGTTTAATCTGCAAACGAAGGAATTGAAAGCAGTGAACGTAGGTGGCCAAGTCAACATTACCAACGAGGGGTACAATGGATAGCAAGGGACGCAATGTTATCGTGTGCGATAATGGAACCGGTGTATGTATTAAACTTTGCTGGCTTGACCACACCTACATGGCGCTTGTTGTGCCAAATATGTGCCTACAATTGAAAATTACAAGATTACAAGAACTGCACTTAGGTTGAACACTTACTTTGCATAACTCGATTGTGGTAGGTGTGTTTACTCATATGACCCTGTGGCTTTAAAAACAAAGATATGTAAAGTTGGTAAATCTACCATATATGTGAACCCTAGCTCTTCAAAGAATTCACATCATTATTTGGTTCAACAACATTGCGTGTATTACTGGCGCCCACCTACGTGCGTACATTTGTTAATGTAGTGTTTTAAATGGAAGTTACAAACAAAATGTATGCTGCATTAGTCACGACCTAGTGGTTCTGGAAAGCAACCTACATACTTGTGATTATTTCTTTATCTTTTTTGTTATTATCTAGCTCTTTCGATTTGATTACTTTTGAATGGTTCGATAGTTACCGCTGGCGATAGATGCACAAAGGCCAACACTTCTCGAAACTACGTTTTTCATAGATTTTTGTAGGATATATTAAAATACATCTTCACTAAAAATCGACACCACCAAACCATACCAGTATGCCACTTTTTAAAACGCCCCGTACGTAATCATGATTTGATTTTTATGTTTTTTGCTTCTGTAAAAAAAAAATTGGTGGTTAGGGCCTTTGTGAATTAAGGTAAAGATATGCACTATATATTTAATAAATATTTTTCGGACAGAAAACAACTTCAGCGCAGATTTCTGTATATTGTAATCGTTTTCAGTTTGAAAACAGCAAATTGTAATGCCTTTCTTCTTTTGCAGTTTGTAAAATGCGGCTATGCCGGCAGCAATTTCCCCGCACACATATTCCCCTCCATGGTTGGAAGGCCAATAATTCGTGCTGTTAATAAAATCGGCGACATAGAAGTTAAGGTAAGATTAAAATTGGCTTAATTCTCTTTCCAATAGCTTAAGTTTTCAATAAATGTAGAGATGCCTTGTTTTTATCAACATTTTGTTAAGCACATTAAAACCAAGTACGAATCTTAAGCAAGCTGTTGATGAAAGCTTTAGAAACCTATTGAAAGATATGGTTAGTTAAAATGCTTTAGCCTTTTTTATTATTACCTACATATGTATATAAGTAAACTACTTAAAAGTTAAGAAAATATTACATTTTTATTAAAAGCCTATTCTTACGTATTTTTCTGTTCTTTTCATTACCTTTTTTATACATATTTTTACAGGATTTACATGTCGATGTAAGTCTCTAGTTTTAGACACTATTAAATTTAAATTGTGAACAACTTAGTATTATTACAATTTAGAATGCCTATAGAAAATGTATTTCCAGATTGCCTTCAAAGTTACTAAAAAAATTAAAAGCTTTTGCAAGAGCAAACGCTTTACAAACAGCTCAATTAGAATTTTTTAAATGTTTGGCCCAATCTTTTACGCCTGTGGCACCTACTAACTCACTTGAATACCTTGCATTGTAGCCTTATTTGGCTAAGCATAATTTATTGTTTTCTGAATGTCCAACAATGATTACTGATCATTAAAGTTTGTTATTTTTCCTATGCATAGTTTTTGTTCTTAATTTCTGCGTGAGGAATGTATGCGTGTGTTATTTGAGATATTCGACTTCTACTCGAGTTTGAGTTTTTGTACTAACAAATTTGCTATTACTAACAATATTTACGCATGCTAATTGTATGATTTCTATTTCTCCTGTTAGCGCTTTAAATCGAAATGACTTAACGCTGCGAAGAAATAATAGTAGTATCAATTTTATCTAAAAGCGATTTTAAATCAGAAGAATTATAGATTTTGAGAATTTAAGACGTATGTATTTCAGGAGTAAGGGAATCGTTCAGATACCTACTCCCAAAGTATCAAAATGTGTATTTGTATGTAAATATGTACATATACTTTGTTAGCATTTGGGCCTGTTTTTCAGTTCTGGCTAAAAATTAATTTAAACGCCAGTTACTTAAACTAAGTTTTTACGTTAATTCGAGTTTAAACTACTAATGCTTCATATGTTGTCCCGCAAAACGCCATATGCAGTTACCTTGGTCCTCCATGATTGGTGGCAGTGAAAAATGTTCATCTCTCGTTTACATCAATGTCGCTATAATCAATTTCTTTGAAAGAATCCGCGTACAAGTATATTGCAAACAATTTTAATTTTGTTCAGCTGATAGTTTAATTCCCGTTTAACCCGGACAGATTTGGCACTTGAACCCCATTTAAATTTGACTGGAAAACTACACAGTGAGATTAAACTTAGATTAAAAATGATCAGAGTTAAACTAGCATTGAAAAACTGGTCCTGTACAATTGCAGTTGCATATAGCTGAAGCTAAAATCGGGGTTTAGATTAGTTTAGTTAAATGTAATGATTGTATATTGTTTCCGCATTTTCCCAAATTGACTAGTTATGCGTTTAATAATTTGTATTTCGTATGGCATGCTTCATTTACTAAATGCTTCTATTATTGGTGTCGCACAAAAAAAAAATTCTACAGGATCTAATGGTGGGCGATGAAGCCTCACAACTGCGATCGCTTCTAGAGGTGTCCTATCCAATGGAGAACGGTGTGGTGCGTAATTGGGAAGATATGTGCCACGTTTGGGATTATACATTCGGCCCGAAGAAAATGAATATTGATCCAAAGAATACAAAAATACTTTTGACAGAACCGCCCATGAATCCGCTAAAAAATAGAGAAAAGATGATTGAGGTAAGCCCATTTTGCTGCATTGTATATACAATAATATATTCTATTTCGTTCATACATGTTCTATTCTCAAAACAAAATTTTGCAGATGATGTTCGAAAAGTATGGCTTCGATTCGGCGTATATTGCAATTCAGGCGGTGCTTACTCTCTATGCGCAAGGCTTGATTTCGGGTGTGGTTATCGACTCTGGCGATGGTGTTACACACATTTGTCCTGTGTACGAAGAATTTGCGCTGCCTCATTTAACCAGACGTTTAGACATTGCCGGCCGTGATATCACACGATATCTGATTAAGGTAAGTGACTTCAAAAACTGTTCCAAGCAAATTTAAAATTGCTTGATATACTATTCTTATAGCTTTTACTTTTACGTGGTTACGCGTTCAATCATTCCGCTGATTTTGAAACTGTCCGCATGATGAAGGAGAAACTCTGCTACATTGGCTATGACATCGAGATGGAACAGCGACTTGCGCTGGAAACTACTGTGCTTGTTGAGTCATATACGGTGTGTAAATGTATGCTATAGCTCCGCAAAAATAGGTTTACTCATTCCTGCTTTATTTTCTACAGTTACCCGATGGCCGCGTGATAAAGGTGGGCGGCGAACGTTTTGAAGCACCTGAGGCGTTATTCCAACCACATTTAATCAATGTTGAAGGTCAAGGCATAGCCGAGCTAGTGTTTAACACAATACAGGCGGCCGATATTGATATGCGCCCGGAATTGTATAAGCATATCGTTCTGTCTGGTGGTTCAACCATGTATCCAGGTCTTCCTAGTCGATTAGAACGCGAAATAAAACAATTATATTTAGAACGTGTGCTCAAGAACGACATCGATAAGTTAGCGGTAAGTTTCACAAGCAAACGCTATAAACTTTTTTTTTCTGAAAAATCCATACACCTACAAATTGCAGAAATTCAAAATTCGCATTGAGGATCCACCACGACGAAAAGATATGGTTTTCATTGGTGGTGCTGTTTTGGCTGAAGTGACAAAAGATCGCGATGCTTTTTGGATGTCGAAGCAAGAGTATCAGGAACAAGGTCTCAAAGTATTACAGAAACTTACGAAGAGCACACAGTAGTAGGAAAGGCCAAAAAATACTATTAACATTCAAGTTAAAACCTACCTTTTGTATTGTGTTTTTATAGCTTGCAATACAACATATATCGTCGTTTAAAGTACAAAACCGCGTATCAAGAAAATGCAAATCCGCGTATGTGAGGTTGCATAAATTATTTTTTATAGAGTAAAAACACTCATATTTCAAAATGGTTCTCTTTTTTATAAAGAAATCGCATTTCTGGCTAGTATATTTCAGGGCGAATGGATAAGGATTGAGCCAAGAGCTTGTGTGAGCAAATCCAATTTTCGGCAGCCAATGTCAGTTACGCGGTTTTGCAGTGTGACGATACGCAGTTTTGTACTTTAAATGACGATATGTATGTATGTATGTATATTTAAGTTAAAAATGACAAGACAGTACTGTCAACTATAATAATTTTCGAACAGTTTATATTAACCGCCGTTATAACAAAAAAATGATTATTCACGCTTCTAACTTAAGAGCTCTGATATATGATTTTCTCTACTTAAAAATTGTTCACATTCGATTTTAATGACTTGCTATAGATACAAATAGTTACATTACGCTTTGTATAGAAGAGAATATAGAAATGCATTTAAATTCTTTCTAAGTCATTTTAAATGTTCTTTACGCTGTAAAAATTTTATTACTGCTATCCCATTATATGCAATGGTAATTGTGTAGCATCAAACATTTCTACTGTTGCTAGATGTACTAAAAAGAAAAAAAAAGTAATATTTTTAATAAATCCAATTTTATTTCGTTTGTAATTTTTGTAGCGAATGTAAAACCATTAAAACAATGAGATACAAGTAAACGTCGGATAGCATTCTTCTACTCAAATTCTTATATATTCATACAAAGTACGTGAATCGATTTCCCTTTATGCGCTCGGTTTAATTTGTTTTATCACTTTTAATAATCCTTCGACATTCAGCGAACTTAATTTTCTGGAAGTTCGACATCCATTTACATTTGCAATGCTAATATCATCAAGAAAGGATAATATTACTGTTGATAACATTAGCATATGTTTGATATCCATACATTCATGCGGCGCCTAGAAAAATATGGATTTCCTACTAATGCGGATACATTGAAAAAATTATTAAATTATTATTTTTTTAATTAAAAAAAAAATGCTGAAAACTTAGTTATTTGAATAAATGAAAAATTGATGAACATTTTAATAATTTTTTATTACCATACTTGAATAAATAACTTTCAACCCATCCCATCAAATGACAACTTTCAACCGATAGAACAGGAATTTAATTGTTCATGTTTGAATAGTAAATTACCAAAAACCCATACATTTATTAAAAAAAACCACATACTAATTATAATAAAAAATTTATTTAAAGAAATTACTGGATGGCAGTAGACTTTTAGCTGCAGCTACTTTAAAGCTGTCGATTAAAAATAAAAATGCAATTTAAACAAATTTTTAATGCAATAAAATATTTTGCTTACAATTTTTACAAAAATTTAAAGGAAAATACCAATAACAAGTGCAAAAGTTTAGCTTTTAACTTGAGTCTTCAAAGGATCTTCGTCCTTCTCAGAGATTATGATTTCACAGTCGCCCTTGAGCATATCGTCAAGTTTATTCTGAAATTTATGTAGAAAGCCACGTTCAGAGTTGCTGTGATTGCATAAAATCACTGAAGTGTTTTGATGATTTGCATCCAGAACTTCATGATGGGACATTTCTCCTGTTATAAATAAATCTGCCTCGTAACCTTTGAGCAACGATCCTCCAGAGCCAGCGCAAACAGCCACCACTGTAATGGGTGTATCCAAGTCGTGATTGACACCCAAAGCTAAATGCACATTAAGTCCGATATGCCTCTGTACCCTGGCCACGGCTTGGCCCAATGTGAGCGATGTCGTAAAGGTGCGTCCAGCACCACCAAACTCCGCACCCAGAGGGTTTGGCTGCAAAATACGAAGAAATTTTTATTTTTTTTATTTACAGACATAACTATATCAACTAAATCTAAAATCGACAAAAAGTAACGGGTCAACGCTTTTGAACTACTCTGGAACAATTCCGAATATTTTTGGAAACTTTTTATTATTGGACAGCAGTAATTTCCCCCTACTACCGGTTCCAAGTAAAACAAAACTATTTTTCATTAAATACATATATTTAAGTAAATTAGACTTTATTGGAAACATTTAAAATACATTGCAGCGTATACAACCTCTTTAATAACCTCCCCGTCCCGGTGGTGGACCACGCATCATACCGGGTGGCGGTCCCCGCATTGGTGGACCACCACGTCCCATTCCACCAGGCATTGGTGGCATTACGCCGGGCACCATTCCAGGAAGTGGTGCACCAATCATTGGATTTCGCGGTACACCTCTACCCATTGGCGTCATATGTTGTTGAGCCGGTCCACCTACACCTCTTACTGGACCTTGTAAGCCAGCAGGCGCAGAAGCAATATTAACTGGTACACCACGACCAGCAGCACGACCCAGACCAGGACCCGCAATTGCTCCGGGCATCGGTACACGCGGCAAACCTTCCTCTGGTGGTGGTGGACCTTCGACGGTGAGTGAGACTATGTTATCACCACGCAATAACACAAAACCCAAAACTCGTTTTTCCTCACGTTCTGGTACTTTGGAGTTCTTCGAACGAATTTTACGAAATTCTTCACAATCGCCCAATATTAAATTCATGTGTTTGTCAAAAGCTTTAAAAGTGCCTATGAAAGTGCGGGAGTCTTGCAGCATGATCCGCACTCTATAGTTGAGGTGCTGGATCATTTTGTTATTTTTACCAATCGTCTGAAAGTACATAAATAGTTACAGTTATAGGAGCAGCTATAAATAATATTCAACTTACCATTGTGGCTAAATTAATTAAACAATTACAGCAGAAAATATAAACGATTAAGGTACGGAAAATGTTTCGTGTTTAGTGATGAAAACGTCAAACACACCGCTTTTCAAGAAATCGTGCTGCCACACCAAATGCACCAAAAATATTTTGCACCGAAATCTCTAGAGTTGCATTTCCACTAGGCTGCCAGAAAGTTATGTATTCAGTGTGCCGTTTTTAATAACTCTGAACGAACTGAATACCCATGAACTAATGGGTAGGTTCAGAAGGTGCAGAAGTTGAGCGTAACCCATGATTCAATAATACAAGGTTCGATAAACTGACAGTTGTCTCTCTCGCACCGGTCCCTTAGCAGTGGCAGTGTTACTTCTTTGCAAATTTACATGGAAACAGTGTAGCTTTGGTGTGAAATAGAAGTATAAGATTTTGCGCAATATGTTTATATGTATATGCATATGAAGCATATTTAACTGATGAAAACATAAACTGTTTTTAAATTGGATGTTTACATCAATCTCATAGTAGTCTTATTTTAATTTTGAGTCATTTTGCAGTTTTTATACGGCTAAATAGCACATAAATTACGTAATTCGCGTAGATATATCAATATTACGTTCAACATTTCGTTTAAAATACCAGATTTCCTGCAAATACATTAGAATTTACAAAAGGATTTTCACTACTAATTGCCTACTTTGCGTACTGTTCTACTACCATTTTCGCACCAAGATATTTCATTCTTCCCCTTTCTCCGTCCTTCATAAAAGCAACCTTTTGTAATGGGCTGTTTTTGCTTACGCGTAAATGTACATTTAGCGCATTTAGCTCTAAATGCTACTCTAAATGTACATTTATCCATACAAAATTCGTCATCTAAATGCAACTAAATGCAACTCAATCTTTGCATTTAGAATCTAAATACTAAAAGCATCCCTGTCATCTTCCAAAATTTCCACGATTCGAACATGGTTTAATGAGAAAAAGTGGCAACATTGCTTTTTCGAGTATACAACCGCTAGCTGCGTTTCAGTGATCGCCGATCGAGATTTCATTTATTATTTTACATTATTTGGATAAAGAAAAGTTACGCAAATTCAACATCGATATGATGCTGATAGAAATCTGGATTAATTTGTGATCAACTCTGTTTGTTTTGTTTCCTAATTAGGTGTGGAAAATATAATTGGCAGCACCGACAAATGAATATATACACAAACAAATGTTCGGTTATGGTTAAAACAATTCAGGTTTTTGTATTGAATTTTCGGTTTAGAATTTATTTTTCCTTTTCAGTAGGGGTTTTTGCACATTATCTTTTCCGTGAGAATTTATCGTAATTGATACGGATCTGAATAAGCGACTGGAACACGGCTGTTTGTCAAAAGCATACGATTTCGAACTCGCGTAAATGTACATTTGCTAAATGCGATAGCATGAACGCTCTTCGAAAACATATGTTCGAAAGTGCTAAATGTTGCATTTTAAATGCAGCAAAAACGCTGCATTAGGGAGTGTCAAACCGCAGCTGTCAATAATTATCTAACCTTGTATTATTGAATCATGAGCGTAACCCATGATTCAATAATACAAGCAGCGTTGCCATTTTAGCCGTTTTCCGGCTAGATTTAGCCGGTTTTGATAGCAACTAGCCGGAGAAAATTCGATCTAGCCGGCAGCCGATTTGTTAGCCGCTTTGTAAAAAAAAGTTAGCCGTTTTTAGCCGATTTTACTATATGCCTAATTTTCAGGTGCAAAAAGTAAACAAGTTGTTCGAAAGCAATATTGCAGACCCAATGAAGATTTTTAATGAACTCAATGTTTTACTTTCGCATCTATGCTCCCTAGTGGTTATTAGCGCGGACACATTTGATCCCCGTTGGAACCATACCTTGCTCCATCTCCTCAGTTTTATCACAGTTTTGAATAGTATTTAAAAACAAAAGTAAGCACAAACGTTTCTGACCACGAAGCCGAGAAAATAATTCGAGAAAATGGTCGCTATTTTATTATCACTTTAATAAAGGAATTACGCCAACCCCTCCCTACAAATATTGCCACACTAAAAAAAAATGACTTTTTTCGGTTGGAAATGCATTAAGAGTAAGGGCCGGTTGTTCAATGTCTGATTAGCACAAATCGGAGGTAGAAGCTCCGGTTAAGCACAACTACTGCTTTATCGATCACATGTTACATGCATGATGTCGAAATCGTCGATAGTGTAGTGGTAGTGATAACCAGACATTGAACAACCGGCCCTAATTAAACCAAAAGTATTTGTTCAACTACAGCAACAAAAACGCAAATATAATGCCGACGAAATAACATCCATAGAGATGCAATGGCAACGGTTAACGTTACATACCTGGAGTAATTTAGACTCAACTGTAAAATTTTGGGCCGAAGTTTATCAATTTCGAAATGCCCTAGAAGAAAACCCTTTTGCTGACCTTTGCAACCTAGTTTTTAGTTTTCTTGTTTTGCCTATAAGTGATGCAGAAGTAGAGCGAATATTTAGTTCAATGAATATAATAAAAACTAAGCAAAGAAATCCAATGTGCGTTAAAACGTTAAACGCTATTTTATATATAAGATACGGTTTAAAACGTGAAGAAAAATGCTGCCATAATTTTACTGTAGATGACGATCTCTTAAAATTAATGAATTCAGGTGATATATACAAGAGTGATTCATTTGATGATGAGGAATATACACTCGATATAAATTAATGGTGTTAACTAGTCTTTCGTTTCTTGCGATTTATTTAAATAAAGCATGTGGATTTTCACTAAAACATTTTAGCCGTTTTTTGCCAGAGTCTATGTGAAATTTCACTAAAACATTTTAGCCGTTTTTAGCCGCTTTTTTTTGCCAATCTAGCCGGTCGGCCCAAAAAGTTCTGGCAACACTGAATACAAGGTTCGATAAACTGACAGTTGTCTCTCTCGCACAGCTCCCTTAGTAGGTATAGGGAACCAAAGCCAACGCTGTCCAAAGGGAACGCTGTCAAGGCTATCAGCTGTATAGCTAAAAAATCAAGGTCTGTTCCCTTACACTAAGAATAATTTTCCCATAAAATTCCAGAAAATTAAAAAAAAGAAATACAAAATAATCTTTTCGGATTTATTTTTAAATTAATGCGAATTAATTTTTAGATTTCAAAGGAATGATAATATTCATATATCTATAAATATATGTACATTTATTTAAAAAAAAAAAAGATTTTTTTCAGAGACGACTGACCAGTAGTTTGACATTATAAATATCGCTAGCTTTGTGTGAAAAGCTGCTTAGTTCACCTTTTTTGAAACCTCATATTTTGATAAATGAAGCAAGAGAAATTAAGGTACTTCTTTTATTTTTTCTCGTTTATGTTCAATTAAAGGCAAATTTTCTAAGTCCAAAAGAGGCCCCGAAAATCCGTTAAGGCTAAAATAATACGAAATCGTTTAAAAAAGATCGAATCCTTCTGATTCGTATTGAGTTTTGCTTTTCTTCAAAGACGCAAAATGTTGTATTCAAAGTTCACGTCAAATTTGTAAAAATGGACTTACCAACTTTTCAGCCAGAGATATGTTAAATATAAATATGGAAACATAGAATCATTTTTATTAAACTTTGAATTACTTATATTAAATATTTTTTTTAATTACGTCAGCAAACTTTTGTTCATAAAAGTGTACAGCAGTTTGTTTGAATTCATTAAGAACGGGAACATACCTTTTTGTCAAAAGCCTACAAAACGCTTTCAAATAAAACATTTGTCTATTTGAAACTTTGAGGCGCATAAAGCAAGTGAAGCAAAGCTGCCATTTGGCCAGCCTTCATACGTTTTAGTATATTCCCAATAACTTTTGACAGTTCTTAAAGCGAAGCAGGCAAAGCACGCCTGCATTGGGCCAGTACCTTAACGCTGTAGCAGTGGAGTGGCAGTTTTTCGAAATCAGCTGTTTTTTAGAAAGTGTGGTGCCCAATGAAGCGACTCGCAATACAGCAGTGGCAGCTGGCAGTACTGCTCAGTTTAGCCCAATTTCTAAATTCACTGCCACTGCCTCCATCGCAGCAAACTTCGCATGTTGAATTT